GGTCCCTTTTTCCTTCCTCGCTTAAGCTGCGAGGCCCAAGGTGGCTTTGCCGTCCTCGGGCATCACTGTGCCCCACTCCCATGGGTTCACTTCATGACCGGGGCGCGGGTGGAGGGATGGATGTTTGTAACTGGAAATGTACTCTTATGGGTTTTTTGTTTTGATTGTTCTGCAGGTAGCAGTGGGGATTTTTTACATCACTGCCACTTTGTAGCTGCTGATTCCTCTCTGACCTCTGGCACAGAGCTTATGCCGGTGGTTATAGCTCGAAATGTGTTAGTTTGTTCTTTGGTTTGCCATTGCTGCAGTCAGAAATGCTGTGTAATAATACTGCCCTGTTACACCGTGGTATGACATGGGATTTTCTTGTTGTTACTGTTCCAGCTGATCCCTCTGTTTGTGATCATTGGATCTGGAGGTGTTGGAGCAGGCCTCTATCTCATGCGCTTGGCAATGTTCAACCCTGATGTCAGGTGTGTATAAAGTAATTCACAGGGACAGGTTCTCTTGCTATGTATATTAAAGTAAACTTTGATACCTTTTTTTTTTTGGAATGTTACTGAAGGCCTTAGTGTCTTGCAACAGTATCACTGACGCTACGATATCACTCCGCTAAGGAAGTGGAGACTTCCTTGATGTGGAGAGCTATGTGTTTACCATATGGTATTTAGAGACTGTTGACAAAGGGTGCTGCCTTTTTCTGTGAAAACTTGTTTGGAGAGTGATTTCATGGCCTAATAACCACAGTACAAATACAATTTTAGTTATTATTTTAAAGATAGTGTGTGTCTCCTTATAGGCTCTCATTTCTTGCATTTTTCTCAACAGCTGGGACAAGAAGAATAACCCAGAACCTTGGAACAAAATGGCCCCCAGTGACCAGTACAAGGTAAAATGAGAAAAACAGGTTTTTAGGAAAAATAGCTGAGATGTAACCTACCGCTTTAGGATGTTTGATTACATTGGAAAGTAGCCGTATGAGTGATGTGTTTCCTCTGCTGTACATTTGTTTGTCTCAGACTCAGAGCAGAGAGGGTTGAGCTTGGGATTTAAAACTTTCCTAGTGTTGGCTGATAATGGAGACAAAGGCATCTATATGAATGCAGTTATATGTATTGCACTGGAAGAAAAAGAGGAACTGTATGCAAAAGGAAGAATATAGTAGCTCATAGTACTCAGAAATAAACTACAGGAAGAGGGACAAAACCTCAGAAATTCTGACCTTAAGCTTTCTAAGCTCTAAGCTGTTGGCCTTTACTCATGCAAAGCACTGCAGGAAAATGTTAGTGTTTACCAGAAGCACTAATTCAGTTCTCCAGTTGATTGTTTGAAAACAGAATTGTAAGTAACTGGATGCAATAGAAATTAATAATAGAAATTGATATTCAAGTTATTTCATTGAACTACTGAGGAAGCATGCAAAGATGTGTAAAACATCTGATAGTTTACAGAAATCATAGGATCACAGAATCATTTAGGTTGGAAGAAAACCTCCAAGGTCATCGAGCCCAACCTTTGACTGATCACCACCTGGTCAATTAGACCATGGCACTAAATGCTGCATCCAGTCACTCCTTGAGCACCTCCAGGGATAGTTTCCAATGCTTAACGACCCTTTCTGTCAGGAAATTCTTCCTGATGACCAACCTGAACCTCCCCTGGCACAGAGTGAGGCTATTTCCTTGTATCCTAGTTGCCTGGGGGAAGAGACCAACCCCCACCTCACTACTACTTCCTTTCAGGGAGTTGTAGAGAGTGGTAAGGTCTCCCCTGAGCCTCCTTTCTCCGGGTTAAACAATCCCAGCTCCCTCAGGTGTTACTAGTATGCTTTGCTCTCTAGACCCTTTGCCAGCTTCGTTGCCGTTGTCTAGACACAAATTGTGTTTTAATCATGTTTTACCAAAGTGCTATTTTAGTAGATTCCTGTTAAGAGTATTTTAAGACTATTCTCAAGCTACTAAGAAAACAAACCTACTGTGTTTTTGAAGTTAGTGTCTGTTTGGTACCATATCTTTCCATCATTGAAATAAGCCAAAGAAACCCCACACTCCAAAATAAAATATGTTGCAGTTCCCTTAAAAGCTCAGGAAGAACATAATACTTTGTTTTCATTGCTGCTCCAGGAATGTTGCTGTTTCTTAAATATCTAAAATAGGCAAATTCAGCATTGTGTGCAGCACGAATTCTTTTAAAGAGTGAATGCCTTGTGTAGCATTCTCCTTCTGCATTAGTATGCAAACAGCCTCAGAGTTTGCCATATTTGGGTGTGTGTATCATTGGGGTGTTTTTTTTCAAAACTGCACTGTGGGAATTGGAAAGGCAGATACTCTAAATTGAGGATGACTGTTTAGTGAAAAGTTCTGGTATAACAAGTATTAGCTTTTGATGAAATAATTTTTCTTCTCTAAATTTCTTTTTGTCTTGTTAGCTTCCTCAGTCTTCTCAAAGAAAAGAGTTGAATACCTGATTATTACTGTGGGAGTTGCACAGAAAACTGTAATTTGAATGTACTGTAGGCTGTTTTCTCTGAGAAATTAAAATTGAAAATTGGGCATAACATAACATATAATCAATCTTATAGTTAAGTTTGGGTTTTGGTGGGGTTTTTTTGGGGGGGGTCGTTTGGTCTTGTTTTTGGGGTGGTTTTGGTTTAATTTTCTTCGTTTAAGAAAAAGTTAGCATCACATGCTTGATTCCAAGTCAGACTGGGATGCCAAAATATGTTTTTAGTCTGTAATAGGATCCAGCTATATGAATATGAACTGAGCATGTGAAAGAATCTGTTTCATTCCTCCTTGTTGGCTTTTGCAGTTCCAGATGCAGCTACTTAAACCAAACTTGGCTTTTGCAGTACTGCTTTAAATGTTCCCTTGTGGCACTGTTCACATGACCGTGCTTTGTGCCACTTGGCAGGCTTAGCTGTTGCCTGTGGTGTACAGGAGCACATAGATTTTGGTCAAAACAGATAAACTAAGCAGTACTGTAAGAAGTTCCTGTGGATGGACTTCAAATTCTGTGGGTTAAAGAAGAGACACGGTGGGTTTGCTTTAGCTGTAGAACAAGCACTACCTCATTTTAAGTGCAGAGCTTCTAATTCTGTATGCAGAATTAATAATAAAATGTTACTGCTTGTAAAAGACACTTCACAGACTCAAAATAGGATTTCAGTTTCTGGGCATGAGTAAGTAAATAGTAAATACTAGGGAAAATGAGCAACTGAGCTTCTTAACTCATTTTCTTCCCTTCTCTTTCCTAGTTCTACTCGGTTAATGTAGACTACAGTAGACTGAAAAAGGACCGTCCTGACTTCTGAACAACACACTCATGTCCCTGAGCTGCACAGAAAGGTCTTCCGGAAGCCGTCCGCACAATGGTCATGCATCATCATCCAGGAAATAATCACGTTCGCCTCATGCAGCACTAGGTCACATGTTTGAAACTCTTTTGATGAGGCTTAATAAAAGTTTGAAACTTGACGTGTCTGCTCTTTAGTTTTATGAAATGATAATATCCTCTTATTAATGGGTTTTGGTGCATGGTCTGTCAGATAGCGGTCAAAAGCCAATTCAGGTTTCCTCCACAAGAAAGCAAAGTTGTCTTGATGGGCTTTTTACTCAGTCTGACTTCAGAGAAGTTTTTGCATGTTCATGCAGTTTTACCAAACTACTAGAACTTGAAAGCACGTATTTATATGTGTGTATATATTTTTTAATTGCACCTGAATTTATCTACTTGTCACTTTAAGAGGTTTTGGTAGCAGAAAAGTCAATGCCAGTGAGTCATTTATACAGCAGGGAGGCAACAGATGTTGCCATATGTTGCTGGAGGGAAAGAAAAAAACCCCGCCAAGCTCTCTCCAAGTGGTTTTGATTCTTTCATTCATTTTTTCTTTTCAAGTCGAGCAGGTTTTTTAATAAACAGGAAACCAACCTTCAGTATTGAAAAAATAGCGTTCTGCAAACATACTCAAGATTTCCTGTGGGTCAGTGTTTTAAGAAGGGGATCACACAGCAGAACAGTACAGGTTTTGAGAAATAATTAGGTATTCATGTAAGAACGAAACTACCTTTTAGCAAGGGCAAAACCTTATACCTCAGTACTTGGCTGACTCTTGCTATGGGAAGACTAAAAGAAGATATCTTTGCAAGTCTGTAACTTGCGGTTGGTTCTTTGTGCTTTTCTGTGAACATCTGGCATTTCCTTGGTAAGGGATATCATTCTGGACTGTCTGACAGTACAGCTGTTTCTGTCTTGGTGTGCTTCACTTAAAGTAGACTCTTAAGAATGTAGATAACCATAGCAGCTTTCATAAATTATAAGGATAGAGTCAAAGAAATCAAGCAGCAAGAACTTTTGTCAGAGAAGAAAGGACTATTCTGTGTGGTAATTGCACAACAGGAAATATTTGCGCAGACTTTATATGGAAAAATCTTGCAGGATGTGGTTTATTTGGTAGCAGTTCAGATTGTCTTACATACCAAAATGGTGGATTTACTCATAGTTTTCATTGCTTGTTTGAGAGGCTTTCATGGAATCTGAAGAAGAAAAGGAGTGCTATGACCGATGATGTTTAAAGTGGTGGGCAAAGTCTGTAGGTGTCCTTGGGGTCTGGTTGCTGTCTGAATCCAAATATTTTTAGGAATTAGAATGAACATTCTGTTGCAATACTTCAGTTTTAAAAGTATGTCATGTACCAATGGGGAGTGGTTTTTATAACTTGCTAGTTGGCAGTTCTTTTGGATTTTATTTCTTCAAATGCAGATTGCTTCTCTGGACCTTAAGGAAGTAAGCTTGATTTTTAGGTGAGACAAGGTTGTTCGTTTTGGGCACAGCTGAAGAGCTGAAGAGGCTCATATTTTTCTTAATAAAGGCACTTAAAATAAATAGTTTGCTCTTGACACATTTCAAATATATTTAACAAGTACTTTAGCTATTTAAAGCTTTATGGATGAACTAGGAAACTTTCCTCATTGCTGCACACTTGCTGCTAAAAATGCACAAAATTAAGTCTTCTTAAAAATCATTACCCTCAGGGAGCCCTTGCTGCTTTTTATTTTAGGGGCAACAGACAATTGTCACCATTACTTGCCAAGCTTTAATAAACATCATGAGAATGTTCTTTCTTGCTCAATCTTTAATGATTGAAATATTCAGTAGTTGAAAGATGTTACATAATTTCCAGAAAGAAACTGAGTCAAATGAAGAATACTGCATATTTTGTGTGACTTAGTAGCTCAACCAATAACTATTTTCATACAAACATGCTACGCTGCAGCTATTTTTAATATTGAGGAACCCTCACACTTGTAGAGGCTTTAGGCCACACTGCTTACTCTATCTGAAGTTAATCTGTGGGCACAAGTTAAGCACTTGCTTAAATCTTCAGCTTTGGGACATAGAAGGATTAAGGAAAAACCCATCAACTTTATAGGTAGCAGTACAGTGTGTGTTCCTCAAATTCCTAAAACACTTCCACAATTTTTGATACTTGATAATAAATTTAGGGGTTCATAGATTACCCTAGTAATTCAGTTCTGTGATCTGTTATTATTTCCTCAGTAGTTTGGGGGGTTTTTTAATGGGTTTTGTCTGATTTGAAACATATAAATGCACTTTTTAAGTCCCTGTTTCCTTTTTTGTTGTTGTTGTTTTGTATATTATTTTTGTTCTTAAAATTCCAATCTTGCAAGGCCATAAATTCCTGTTTAATTTTTTTCACTGTGAGTTTTCCTTAGGGACAGAGGAACCATTTGTTCCATTCAAAACCAAACTGCATACTTGGCCCTGGTTTGTAACTGCTTGGTAGTGATCTATCAGTATCCAAAACATTTCCTTGCATTTTTGTAGGGTACTGCTGTTGAAATAGAATTGGTTTTGCAGCTCAGCAATATTCTGTCTTAAAATATTTAAGGATCATTAAAACTTCTTCTTTAAAACCATTATCTACCTCTTCATGAAGTCAAAGATGGTAATCCCTGAAGACAACATGAAGGAATGATTGTAGTTTGGATTCTTAGGATTCCAGCTTCTTTTGTTTATCTTTGGCTATTAACTTCCATGAAGCAACAAAATCCCATCATTAGTAGGAAAAGTGACATCCATCATTAATACTGTGGCATGTCATTTTACTTGAGCAGATGTGTTATCTGAAAGAGACTGATATTCTGCTGTCTTACGTTTTGACTGAGATGGATACAGCTGCTAAATTTCAGTTTGTGGGAGATTTATTGGAGAATGATCAATGTGGGCCTGGTCTGCATGTCCTGTTCATTAGACACATACAGAAGAGTCATCACTTACTTTTACAGCACAGCATTGTGCCTACCACTGTCAGATTTCTGTTAGTGCAGTTATTCTGTGCCTCCATATCAGTGGTCCTGATATGCAGCAGGGTGATCAAATCTGAAATTAATTCTGCCTATCCAGGATAGAAAGAATTACAGATTTCCATAGTTCTGGCACATGAACATGGCTCCATGCAGCATGTTGTAGGATTTATGTTATTTGTCTGCAGTAAGGAAAGATCATTGTGGGTATAAAATATCGAGCCGCCTCTAAGAAATTAGAAGGGTGTACCCAATATTAAAAGAATAATTTAAATTTTGTATAGGATTTCTAGCCAAATGTCATCTGAGGAAATACATTTCAGATCTGTTTTCAAGCTCTGTTTTACCTTTAAAATAGTTTGGTGTGTGACTAGTGAATGACCTTTAAAACTAAGCAAATGTATGTTTAATGCTGATAGGACTGTAATACTTTGTCAGAAAGAAAGGTTGAAAAATTATTACAGGAATTCAAAAAATGCACTTAGGATGAGTTATTGAAAAAGATGTGCAAGTGCAGACAAAGTTATTGTTTCTACTTGTTGGCCAGCTTTACTGTGGAAGAAACTATGTGAGCTAGAGAGCCCTTTCTCCAGGACAAAGTGAAGCACAGGAGATCTGTAAGATCTTCAGAAAATAGATGTTCACTTGCATCATTGACACAGTAGGGTTTTTCTTATATTACTTCACAGAAAACTGACTCTTCAGTCCTCTCTTTTGAAATCTTCAAAAAGGAAATTGGTTGTCTTCATGCTGTTGTGATTTCATAATCCATCCACTTTTCCTTAGAAGTGGTCTTGACATCAGTATTTAGTCATGAGAAGTTCCTGTGAAGCTCAAATCATTTCATCTCCTCCTCTGATCTTTAAGCTTCTTAAGAGTGTCTCTGGACATCAGTATGATGGCATACTTCCCAAATCTGTGCTAATTCTGATGCCATATGGTTTGGATCAAATTTGGGCGTTTTTTCCGTAATTTCAAAGTATTATCTATGGTTGGTAAAGTTTAACACTTTCTTAGTAAGAATGACATGAGCCAGAACAGTGGAAGAAAATACACACCTCTTCCATTCTTGAGAACAAAATCTATTTTTAGCATCCAGAGTAACATTTATCTGAACCAGAAAAGAATTCTACATTTTCTTCTTTTTCTCCTTTTTAAAAGTTTCATGTAAATGAAACTATAATTTTTAGCCTTTCTAAACAAACATTATTCTCACAGTTGCAAGGTAAAGAGCCTAAGAGATCACTATACTTGCTCAGTTTTATTCTGTTTTCATCCAGGATCAGTAATACTTCAGGTAATACAAAATGTGCACTAAAGTATACAAGTCAAGGCAAGAAAAATGCATTGAAATTTCTGATAGTTTGCTATCAGCATTTACCTGACATTCATTTGCTACTAGAACTGACACAAGAGTGGCAAGTGGAACTCCTGAAGGAGACAGCAGGTTCTGAAGATGATCAGAAAATAGTTTATTAGCAAATGGCAATGCATGCATTGCAAAGGAGAATAGAAATTCTGCTGGTAATATTCATGGGTATTGTCAATGCTTTATAACAGACACCTCAAATAATATTTCTGGGGTCATTAATTTGAATTACTTTGGACAAAATAATGCACTACACCATTTACAGTTCATCACTATAATGTAAAGACAACTTTACAAGAGAACTGCACAAGCTATAACCCAATAGACAAATTTATGGACTTGTTTTTTCACATTGGAAGCAAACTAAGTATGAACATGAAATGTTTTCTAATTTTAGTTTCTCCACTGCAGGCAAATGAAACAAACTGCTGAGAAGGTAATGAAAACAGATTACTTAATGGTGAAAAATCTGAGTGCCATTCTTTCTCTACCAGTGGTGCCACTGCTGGAATTTAATGGGGTGGCACCAGTGTGTCTGAATGAAGATTTTGATCCTAGCTATTTAGAAATAGGGTTGAATCTAATAAGATTTCCTCAGTACTGATAGCATGTTTGGGTTTTTTTTTGCTAGACTCAGAGCAGGAAGATAGAAGAACTCATTATCAACAGGAAGAAAACAGAATTTCCTCCCAATTTCGAACTTCCTACTCTAGTACCACTTACACCTCATGACAGTCTGTAGGATTTTGATGGAGTATTTAAGGGGATAATTTACTTCAGA